GATACCATTATGTCTGAGATGATTTACATTTTTTGTAGGATGTCGACGAGATCGCCGATAAACAGCGGAGTAAAGTGGAGAACTTGGCCAAATACGTCCATTTGCAGGAGGTAGGCACATTTCAAATTATTATTTTGGTCAGAAAATATTAACTATTTTACACCAAACCAGTGATAATATATTTAAATAAGTACCATTTATGTTTCTATCAAAAAGATTTAGGGAAAAAGGTAATGTAAGTCCACTGCTGTTTATCTGAATTTGCAAGCCACAAATTGATGTTTAACTATGATTATTGCATGGCCATTTTCTTGTGAAATATTAGTGCTAGGCGTTTCACACTTACCAATGACTACCCCCAAATGTACCATCTCTGAACCATATAAGCACCTCAGAATAGCCAAAGCTTTTATTGTTTGGTAGATAGCAGTATGGCGAAAGCGTCGTTTTTGGGTGTGGTCAGTTTCGGACGGTTTGCCCCGGATTGGGGTTCGGGCAGCGTTACCATGTTGACCGTCATGGTCAACTTACCCTAAAACAGTTGAGATTATCTGTCCTAAATGAAATGCATACAAACTCATATACAGGTCCTAGACTACAGCAAATAACTTTAAAACCAAACACAATAAAAGTAAAAATTTAATTATCTAACGTTTCGTTGTTTACAATACAACATCTTCAGCGCAATCTAAATGAATTAATAAATAAATATTGACCTTAACTATACTAACCATGCACTTAACATTAATCTTATTAACTTCCTTTCTTTCTATTCATTTGTTCTTTCAAACTATGTAACCGTTTTTGTAATATTAAACCATTATTTTGTAAATATATACACCATACCCTGTAAATTAATTTAGATTGCTCTGAAGATGTTGTATTGTAAATAATGAAATGTTAGCTAATTAAATGTTTACTTTTATTATGTTTGGTTTTAAAGTTATTTGCTGGGCTCTGCTCTTTATCTTTAAACTAAGATTTCCGCCTGGTGTATCAATTGCCACAGATCTAGAAGTCTTGTTAAAGAAATTAAAGGACGAGAATATAGAGCTGCATAAGACCAACACTCAACTGAACGAACAAATTGGTGTCCAGGAACAGCAGTGTACTTTGGCAGACATTGAAAATGAGAATGTCAAACGTTATTTGCATTTCCGGAAAGTGCAGAGGAGAATACGAACTACAACCGACGATTTTAATAAACCTCGTTCAATATCAGATAAGTTTTCATTATATTTACTATAGCTTAATTTGATTCGTATAACAGTATTAACACGTTCCCTTTCAGTCATTTAGATGACGAAAGTTTTCAATTGGCCATGTACGAAATGTCACACGGTCCGGTGAATTTCGATTCCGATAGACTTTCCTGTTTAAAACTAAATCTGTTATCTTTAGATAATTATAAAGGTTTATCCGTATCGAACAACTTAGATACCGATTCAAATTTCTTTTCAGATGTATTTAACTGTAATTTTTATACCGAGAATACTTTTAATGATATGTTGCAAGATAATTTTTATGATTGTGAAAATTTTAATATACGAAGTATTGGTGGCAATTTTGAGAATCTAACAACTCTGCTCCATTCGATTAACAACAAATTTTCTGTCATTGATGTTTCTGAAATATGGCTTAGAGATTCATTGCACTCTGTTGACATGAATGGATATAATTTTGTGCACAACTACTGTTCTGATAGACCTGGAGGCAGTGTTGGATTGTACTTGTCATCTGATTTACAATACAAATTTTGTAATGATCTAGGTTTTCCTGAGCAGTCATGTGTTAAGAGCGAGTGTCCGTAAATCTCGAGAATCGGACGACAAATTGGAAAATTCGAAATTCCATTTATTTTACCTATAGTATCCACTGGGTGAGCTATTTTAAAAAATATAGTTCAAAAGTCGCAGCTCCTCTTATTTTTCGAGAAATTACTAAACATGATTTTGGGGCTTTTAAGTCAATTTTCATCGGTCAAAATACAAGATTCTGAAGCATTCGTGACGGCTACCTTTTAAATGTATTACGGCCGGGTTTTTTCTTATAATCGAAGTACAACTCTATATTTTGTTTTACTAGCAAAATCTTTTTTGATTACGAAGTCTTTCTTGACATTTAAAAGTAGCAAATATATGGCGTTTACGGCTCACAACAGTAAAGGCCATTTTTTGTCAATTTCAATGTGCCCAAATGAACCGTGGTACATGACAAATTGCAATGAAAATAAGACTAACTTGCAAAGTAGCCATCTGTTTATAACATATTAAAAAATCTCTGGCGGCAAGCAAAACCCGCACCAGTGAGAAGTCAAAATGTTGATGTTATTTTTAGATGTCGGTGCATCATAATTGTACATTACATCGGTAATTACATGCAGTGACAATGTGACAGTTTTGTCGCATTTCAAAGATGCAGCGCAGAATAAGGAATACAACAATATTACTGTTGGAGAAAGTTAAAAATAGTACATTATTGTTTTAAGTGATGAAAATGTTTTTAAATCAAATTGAAGAGGTGTTTTATCAAAGATCAATCAATTATGACACAAATGTGTGTCTCAAAAAAAACCAAAATCATTGAAATAACGTATTGTTCGAATTTCAATGCCGTAACACAAAGGATTTTGACAGGGTGATTAATTTGTTTTAAAAAATTAAAATATCTTTGTAAAGTGAACGTTTGTTTGCTCATGGGAATTTAAAAATGCTTCGTAAATTGTAATATGCGTAATATGCATTCGTGGGTTTAGTACTTTATGCCTGACATAACAAGTTTACGCTGAGTATTACCATTCATTATAGCAGTTATGTCAATCTTTTATGCACTCGTGGGATTAACTTAGTGCTAGGGCATTGAATATCGAACAATACGTCAATTTCAATGATTTTGGGTTTTTTTGAGACACCCTGTATAACACTGTTATTATTTAGTAAATTCCTTGAGCGTATATTCTATACAATAAATAACAATTCATATATTAAATACTTTAATAAAAAACAATTAATCACAAACGACAAGCCAAGACTTGTATAAATGACAGTAAAACTAGAAATCAAGCGAAATATAAGCACAAACGAGACATTAATTGTCCCTATATGCGTGCAAGGTATACAAATATATAAAAAATATAAACGGATGTGCCAGTTAAATATCGTGCACAATAATCAACCCGGTCCAGAATAATTTTGTTGATGCAAACGAAATTAACAAAAGCAGAAAAAGGGGAAAACTTAAAATTTTACAATTTAGAAGTTGCTTTGGGCAATCTGAGTGAACGAACGATTATAGCATACCAGACATTTTAATCTTTAACTTTGTAAACAATTACATTATGACATACTTTTGGACTTAAAGAAATATTCAGTAATATATAACATGCAAACAAGAAGGAAACTGTAGGATGGCATCGTGTTACTATGCAACACTAGTTGGCGGTCAGTGTGGACCTAGTTCGTACAATCCTTCTATTGTAGAATGCGTAACAATCAAGGATTGTAATAAGGACATTTTAAACCATTGCTCACAATATAAAATTAGTAACGATTGTGGCCTGTCTGGAAGTGAATCAATGTTACTTCTTCCTCGTGCAGGTAACGTCACCGAATTTAATGTTTATTTTTCATTCTTTGACTTTATTGACTTACTATTTGCAAATTTTAAAGATTGTAACTAAAACGTATCGGTATTCTTTAGGAATTTTTGAAATCGACGAGTCATACATGAAGATGAAAGTGTGTCCTTTACATCGAGATTTGTATGGCATTCGCTGGAGGTGCAACAAGACCAGATGCTCAATTCGAAATGACCTTGCAGTACATAAATCTTTATCCGTCAAAGGTCAATGTGGACTGACAACTTTATTATCATCTTTTATTTTTAACAAGACCAAGATACTTATTCCTGTGGGAACAGGTACGAGGTTAATTTATTCAATACATCTATTTCCTGCGTATAAGGTCGGCAGGAAATGTGAGAGAAGTATGAGGATATTTTACTATGCATGCACAAGTAGTGCAGGTTTTGTTTTTAACTGAATTTCTACGTTTTTTTTGTAGAATAAAGAATTTACTTATACTAAACTTTTAGCAGCAATGCCTTTATTTTACAGGATATACAGTATACTGTATACGTTAACTTTTTGCTTGTTTTAGGGATATGCAGAAGCTGTAAAGAACATTTAGCTCATCTGGCAACAGAATGGAGAACTAGTAATTTAGTGTCAACTGACGACGAATCAAGTAACTGCTTAGAATTATCAACATCTCTGCCGCAGATTAACGCAGAACAACCGGTAATAAGAAACAATTTTAACTTTATCACGAGCCATGATCCATGCACTACATTTTAACAGCTTCTATTCTTTATTAGGAAGACAGTAATACTGGTACGTCAGATGAACTTGTTGAAGAAATGGATAAACTTGTACTTAACGAGACCAGGTGGAGCATCTTCTCTCCAGACACTGCAAGTACTACATCATCATCATCTTGTGACGTCACCGATGTTTCTTCTTCATTGGTTGCTAGAAGAAAAAAGCTAAACGAATATTTGGAAGCCTGTAATATTCATCCTTTGAAAAGACCAATGTCAAATTGGGACCAGACATCAGAGCGCACACAAGAACGATACATCCAAAAAACATGTGAAATTGTCTTGTCAGTGTTAATTAAATGATATTTCATCCACTAATGCCCCACATCTTTGGAAAGGGCTTCAAACTTCCAGAAGGATGAACAAAGCATTTGGATTAAGCCATCAGCCAGCAGAAAAAGCTTATTTAGAAGCCTTAGCCGAAGCGTATAAAACCGCAGATAGCTGGGATACTCGGCGCCAAGTCTTATCT